ATATTGGGGGGTCGCGCCGCCGCGCGGCCGCTGGCTCAGGCCCCGCCGCCCCGTACTTTGGGGGGGGGTGGCGGCAGGCCGACTCACCCCCGCTCGTCCACTGGCGGCGGTCGCCGCGTGGGTGAGCACACTTGGGCGCGCTAATCCGCGCGCTTTCAGGCCCCCACTCGCAATCACAGTTCATATATAAGTGGCGCTACCCCGAGTGGCGCTGCGCCGCACACAAACACACGCACACACAACGTAAACGTGCCATTTGGGAAGAGGCAGGCTGCGGATCGCCACCCGGCCCTCAGCCCAGGCAGCTCACGCCCAGCCGAGAGCTGTCAGCACGCACGGCTCGCGCGCGCCGTCGCGGCCGCCGCCGCGTCGCCGTGCCTCACGCCCACGCCAGCTGCGGCGCCGCGGGCGGCTGCGGCTGCGGCGCGGGCGCGCGGGGCGCCGGCGGCGGCGGCGGCACGTTCAGGCCGAAGCGCTCGACGACGCGGCGCAGGTCCTCTACCCTGAAGGGCTTTGATATGAAGGCCTCGATGCCCGCCTCCGCGCAGCGCTGGCGCAGCGAGGCGAGCGTGTCGGCCGTGACGGCCACGATGCGGGGGCGCGGGCCGGAGGGCGCGCAGCCGTCGCGGATGCGCTCGGAGGCGGTGACGCCGTCCATCTCGGGCATGTGGACTGGCGGGGGCGTCAGAGGGTGCGACCAGCGGGGGGCGCGGGGCGTGAGCGGCCGGCTGTGACGAATGTTTGCTGATGATTACTGCCGTGCGCCAGTCACAACGTGCACCCATGCGTGGCCGCCCGGCGCGCCTGCGGCGCCAAAACAGCCGCCTCCGCAGGGCGCCGCCCCCTCCCTCCCCACCCCACACGCCCGAAGAGGCGCGCCCGACACCCCCCGTCCCGCCTGCTGACTCACCGTCCATGAAGATGACGTCATAGGCCTTCCCCCTGACGGCCTCCAGGACCTGGAGGCCGTTGGCGACTACGTCGGGGCGGCAGCCGGGCAGCACCGACTGCAGCACTTTGAGCAGCACCATCTGGTTCACCTGGGGTTGGTGGGGATGGCCGGCATTGTATGAGAACAGGGTTCAGGATTCGAGCAACCAATCACCGTCGAGCGGGATGATAAGGACGCGGTGGTGGGCATGAGCTTGTAAGGCGGTGGCGAGGGAGTCGGGGATCTGTGTGCGCCTCGCAAGCGGCACACAGCGGCGGGGCAGCAGCACACGCGGCGGGGGCGCAAAGAAGTGCGGCGTCGCGGGGTTGCAAGGCGCCCGGCCGGCTCTCACCCTGTTGTCCTCTGCAATCAAGATTTGCAGAGGCGGCGCTTGCGGCTGCGATTGCAGCTGCAGCGGCTGCTGCTGCGCGCCCGCTTGCGGCTGCGACTGTTGCGTTGTCGGCGCCTGCGGGGGCAGGGCAGCCGCCCCGACCCGCGGGGGCAATGGCGCGAGCGCCGGCGCACGGCTGCCATCAGCACCGTTGGCGGCCGCTGCAAGCGCCGCTTCCTGCTGCTGCAGCGGCGCTGGAGGCTGTTGCTGCTGCGGCACAGGCGGCGGCACAACCTCCTCTTGCTGCCTCTGTTGCTGCTGCTGCTGCTGCTGCTGCTGCCGCTGTTGTTGCTGCTGCTGCTGCTGCTGAGCGGCGGCGCTCGCCCCCATAAACACCGACTTGACAGCCGTCGTCAGCGGCCGCAGGCCCCGCATCACCGCGCCTGGCTGCTTGGCCTCCGCCGGCGCCGCGCCAGGGGCCCCGGCAAGGTCGAGCGGCGGCGGCGCCGCGTGCTGCTGCTGCTGCGGCGGCGGCGGGGGCGGCGAGAGGTCTGGCAGGGGCGGCAGCGGCCGCAAGTGGGGGCTCTGCTGCAGGGCGCTGTTGTCGATGCTTGCCCGCATCCGCCATCGCTCCTTCCCGGCCCCGGCGCCGCTGCCACCTCCGCCGCCGCCACCGCCGGCCCCGCCGCCGACTCCCTGCCCCGCCGCAGACGCCGCCTGCGCCGCCGGCCCGCCGTACGGCGCCGCGCCCGGCTGCGCCGCCCAGGCCGGCGCGGGCGCGCGCGCGAGCCGCGGCGCGTTCTCGGAGCCCCCCTGCCAGCTCAGCATGCCGGCGGCCTTCTGCAGCGCCGCGACCATGCGCGCCAGGCGCAGCGGCTTACCAACCAGCACCACCAGCGGGTGGAGGCGCTCTGGGAGCTCGTCGTGGGACC